GATACTGTAAAACGTGGAGCTGTGCATAGGAAGCGGCCGCATGCCTTTCTGTGAGTCAGCGGCGTCCGTGGGTAGGGATCAGGAACGCACATTGGAGTGTAAGTGTTGTCATCGGGCTGGTTTGGGGAGAATGCTACGAAAGGGTTAGTGAGAGAGAGAGAGAGAGCGGAGTGAGCGGACACTTACAATTATCCTCTATTAGAAGCTAGTAACTCACGTGAGCGCGGGCAATTAAAGAAGCGAGAAACGTACGCGGACGCGGGGGAGGTCGCCGTCGGCGGCAGCGACCCAGATGTTCTGAGGAAGGCGGGGCATGATATAATAAATGTAAACAGATCGAGATCTAAGATCAGAGCCGACGACCCGCATTTCCGGCCGTTTTGTCTCACCCTTTCTTGCTCTCCCCTGTCAGCCATGAGCTTCCTCGTCAGTCCAAGACTGCACATGCAGCCAGACAACAACCCCTCCACAGACCAAGACTATCCCGACGATCACCAGCCCCTGCCTATTCAAAAGCAACACAACTCCAGTTGCTGTATGTCTGCTTCTCTACGATCGTATTTCGATCGTCTCATCCGTTTTTTGCAGATTGGGCCCTTCTCAATTCATCGCTCGATTTCATTTATTTAGATCCTATTCTTTCCAGTCATCTCGCCGACCAGGCTGGCCTCCTACTTAACAAATCTCTCATTGACTACGTCCATCCCGATGAGCAGGCTTCAGCTAAGCACGATATTGGCGGCGTCGTCGAACGCAAGACAATGCACGGCTCAATAACTCGGTATATTTTTCTCCTTTTCTCTTGTCCCCGGCTGACGATTTATATTTCCGTTTCATGCAGCATACGATTTTCCCGGTTATCCAGAATCCGTCGCATGCTGGGGTACGACGGGCCGCTGTCAAATTCCACATACCGCCAGAGTTTCTCTGGATCCTAACTACATGGTCGTCGACATTGTCACAAACTGGGCTGCGGAGGGCCTCGTGTTATGCTTTATCCACGCAACTGCCGAGCATGATAGTGAAGACTTGAAAAAGTCCGAATGGACAAACTGGTGCGGAACGCCCGTCCTGGACATGCAACAGATACATCGCCTGTACCATGCCCTCCTCATGTACATTCCGCAAGGTAACATGACCAGAGTCTTCCAAATACTATCAAATTCGCAAGAACGGGCTTTATTAGTATCCTGGCCTCCGGACCCAGTCCAAAACGACCCAGGTCCTTCCGGCCGGGACTTCGCAAAGCTGGTCGAGACCGTGGAGTTTGGCGCCAGTCCAGGTTTGAGTGATGCCAAGACCACTTGCGCTAGGCGGTACCGGTCAATTAGACCCCTGCCATTGTTCGCGGATACCGTCGAAAGTATTTTTGTTCCTCATGGTAAGCAGGCGTTAGGGTTCACTGCGGAGTACTATATCTGACGCAACGCGTGTTCCGAAGGGTCTGTTATCTTTGCATGTCACAGAATCAATGCATCCTCTCGCAACGCTACCTCTACGATGCCTCAGGCATATAGCACTTCTACATACCACCCTCAGCAGCAACAATATTACGAACAGCAAACCAACTTTGCGCTCCCTCCTCTTGCGTCTCCCCAGACCGCATACAATGGCAATTACGCTCCGCAAACTCAGAATTTACCGACATCGTATTCAACTCAGCGATGGTCCGCCGAACAGCAAGGCGTGTACCATCAATGGGAATCATCCGCGCATTCACCCTCTCATGTCCCGACTGTAAGTAATCTACGATCTGGAGCATACCCGCCACATCTGCATCAATGGCAGGCCCCGCCCCCGTCATACGTGGACGCGAGTACCAATTCTCAAGCCGGTTTCAATCGGCCAATTTCCCCGGGTTATTCCTATCCAGCAGTAGGAGGTTCCGGAGGCGAATTTCCCACAGACCTTGTGCCGCCTCCAAGGCGTCGAGTGAGCCCAGGTTCCACGCGTGACCATTACTCCACAACTAGCCGCGCGGCCAGCAACAGGCCGATGGGCGTCCTTCGGTGTTCAAGCTGCAAGGCGACCCAAAGCCCGGAGTGGCGTAAGGGACCGAGTGGGAAGAAAGAATTGTGCAACGCGTAAGCTCTGTCTTTGAGATCCGAGCAATGATTGATCATCAATGCAGGTGTGGTTTACGCTATGCTCGTTCCCGGGCAAAGAAGGAAGGTCACAACCCAACTCAACGCAAACGAAAAGAGAAGACACAGGTAAAAGCCGAGTCGACCACACCTCCAAATGCATCGCCTACCTACCCGGCTATGCGGCGCAGAATCGGAGAGGAGTCATTCTCCACTTCTTCAACTGGTTCGCCCTCGGGCAGCGATATCTACTCACAGTCTGGACACCCCGTTCTCAGTACTCTCACTCCATCCCCATCCCCACCAGCAAACAACATGAGCTTTGTACATTATTCCCCTGGCCCGAATAGCCGCCAGCAATATTCTACCGCTACAAACAACTTTTATTCAGTTCCATCTCCGCTTTCTAATCCGCCAGTTCTCAATACTCCGCACGAAACGGCTCATTCAACGCACGAACAGCATGGCACTCAACTACCTCCATTGGGTCAAATCTCGTCCTATACAAGTCGCATATCCCCGATGCTCCCGGCAGCTTCCTCCATCACACATTCGCCGCTTACCTCTACCCTGCCATTAGCATCATATGAGCGTGAAAGGGACAAGGACCGAGAGCTTCCACCGACACCGGTTTCTGCTGAGCCGCGCCAGCCCAGGTCCATTCTGACACATCAATGAGGTCCATCACCTCTCCTATGATAGGCTCATCCAGCCATGTTTCAATTTCCTTTGTCCCCACGTTGCAAGGGTCTGGCAATGAAGTTTTACAAATCCCGTGGATCCCCTTGTGTCTCAGTTGTATTCGATTCCCCTGTACAAATGCCGTGGAAGTTGTACGCTTGCCGGGAAGCCTCAAATGACAGATGCTATGCACAATCAATGCATTGTTTACATGTGGCTCTAGTCTCCGACGCCTGTTCCAGTACGTAGTCATGTCTGTCTCTTTAGGGGTTTTAATTCCGTCCTCCATTCTGTGATTGGGTCCAGGGTTGCTGAACATTCTGTTTACGCCCTTTTTCATCCGTCTGTTCTTTTATCCACTGCATAATTACATTACGTCCTGTACAAACGGCCCGTACATTATTATATCGATAGTGGTACTTTACTGTTCAATGCCTCCATATTGTGTAACGCTGCTTAAAACAGGAGGAAACTAGTAGTAGTATGTTATAGCAAAGCTGATTATAAAGGTATCGATCAATACATTATTGCTGATGATATCATTGAAAGCCGATACGGCAGATAATATCTATCACGTGGTGATGCAGGCCCCAAGTCAAGTCTCCATCACCGCATTTGTCTTCCTGCAGCGATGGGGGACGACAAGGAATCCATCGCAGCTGATTCTAGTACTGCGGATGTCCGAGGAAACAACGCAAAGTGGGTCGACTAGAAGCCCGGATTCATATATGCTGATCACCGGCATATCCTCTATAGGCAAAAGCTAAGCGCCAGGGTAGAGCTCCCCGTGCCCACCGCTGACGCAGCAGCGGCAGAGTCTGACGAAGAACCAGCAGACGGAGAGGAGCAATATGAAGAAGGTGATGACGACTTCCTCGTCGACTTCCCTGACGAGACTGATGTAAGTGGTGTACCGCCGAAGAGCCATGTGACCTGCTAACGGCGTTTTACAGGATTTGGAACTCGTGCACTTACGGATTGGTTCGCTCGCCAATTTACGTCTGCAGAGGTTCGCAAAACACCTTAGGCGACTGTGTCTCCGGCAGAACGTGATAACCCGTTTGGACCCGGAGACATTCCACACGTTGACCAACCTAGAGGAACTGGATCTGTATGACAATAAGGTCAAGCATCTGGGAAATGCCTTGGAGAAACTATCGAATCTCAAGTGAGGAGGTGGTGTTCGCGCTTGATTCGTTGCGGCTGACCAACTTAGTTACCTAGGACACTCGACTTGTCATTTAACTTGTTTAAAAGTGTTCCCGAACGCCTAGATTTCACACCCAAGCTTGAGACTATTTATTTTGTTCAGAACCGCATTTCCGAGATCAGCGGTCTCGACTCTCTCGTAAATCTTCGCAGTTTGGAATTGGGAGGAAACAAAATACGCGTAAGCTGGTTTGTTGCGTCGCTGATCAACATGTGTTAATTCATATTTTAGAAAATAGAGAACTTGGATGCATTAGTGAACCTTGAAGAGCTTTGGTTGGGCAAAAACAAGATCTCCAAGATCGAGGTACGCGGAATGAGATAAACAATATTGAACTTATGTGGCTGACAAAATTAAGGGTCTCAGCAATTTGAAGAAGCTCAAGATCTTAGCCCTCCAATCAAACCGGATCACGAAATTGGAAGGGTTAGAGGGGCTAGAAAGTTTGGAGGAGCTTTACTTGAGTCATAATGGTGTGAAGAAACTTGAGGGACTTGAGAACAACGTGAGCCTTTTTCATTGATCTTCAATTAGGGTTGATCAATCATTTCCGATAGCTCAATTTGACGACGCTTGATGTTGGGAATAACTTTGTCGATGTCTTGGAACATGTTTCCCACCTTCACAATTTAACTGAACTATGGGTAAATTTCATCGACGCATATGAGAGAATATGAATTCATGTGATTCCTTTTTAGATGAATCATAACAAGATCCCTGATCTGCGTGCTCTTGACAGAGAGCTGCGGCCAATAACGACCCTAGAAACGCTGTATCTGGAAGGAAATCCGTGTCAGACTTCGGATATGGTAGGGTACAGACGGAAAGTTATGCTCGCCCTGCCGCAATTGAAACAGATTGATGCAACGTGAGTTCCCATATCTTGCATTGATGGCTAAGTCATTAACTCCATTTACTAGGTTTGTTAGACTGAAGTGATGAATTTCTGCACGTTTATTCTCCATTTGGATTTGTAGATAGGATGTGTAATTTCACTTGATAAAAATGAACGTCGACAAAACTTTTGACAACAGTGAGATTTGAACTCACGCCCTTTCGGACCAGATCCTGGGTCTGGCGCCTTAGACCGCTCGGCCATGTTGCCTTTCTAATTTGGCGGAATATCTGACATACATAATATGATTGAAAGGTTCGTGGGAAATCTACCGCCTGGGCTTAAATCCACAGGTGTCTGAAACATCCTCCTCTTTAACGTTCACTCTACAATGGGAGACCCGTCCAGCCTTCGTTTCGTCCCCGCTCCCGGGTCTACCATTCCAATCAATTGGGCCCGCGTTCCAGAGGCAACGAAGAAGGCCCTCTTAAAGCTCTATGGATATGATTGGGAGAATCGTACGACCAAGCCTCTCCCAGAAACCGTCGCTGACCTCGCAAAAATGTTTGACGAGACAAAATTCTTTGGATACTTTCGGCCCGAGGTCCTCACAATTCTCATGGACATCAGCGAGTTCGGGCTCCAAGCTGCTGCAACCCCAACCAGCCTTCAAGCCGGGCCCCGTTTCTACATGACCTACATCGGTGAAGTCTGGTTCTTTCTCTTTGCTCCAGGGGAGAGAGATTGTATAGTTGGACACAGTGGTCGAATAACCAGGGAAATCGAAGAGGATGATGACGACGACGACGATGACTACGAGACCAAAAGGGCAGCTAACGAGACAGCAATAGCAAAGGAGTTTGATGTGAAACTTGAACGGGAAGTTTCCCGAGGAATGGCTTGTCTTGTCGGTCACACCAACAAATTAGGTGGATGGGAAGCATCGACGGCTAAATCCGATTTGGAGTTTTCGCAGTACGCTACTGCAATTATGGGGCTTCCCAGGTCGCACCCAATGTACCGCGACCTCATGCAAAATGTGTTCAGGAGTTTTTCAAGGTGAGCTGCCATTTACCTTGTTTCGAATATTATCAGAGTAGTTAACAATTCTTTCAAAAGATAATTTGCTCGAGGTGCTCACATAAAGGGGCAGTTAGTCGACCGTATCAACTTTAAAGTAGTTTAAACCCTATCAGTACAGATCGCGCCTGAACTCCATCTTAGTACCCACATCGTGACCAACAAGCACAAGGTATCACATAACACACGAGTCAGATGCCTTTTCTACCTATCACATAATCGCTGATTGCAATTGACTCTGTTATGCGCCATCAACGATCAGGACGAACAAAATGTCGTCCCTGATCTTCGTGACAGCCGAGATTGATTAGATTGATCAGCTAGTATGGACCTGCTAAGTGAGGCTAAGTGCTTGTAGGTAGGGATTACTAGCAGGGCGTGAAAGCGATGCCATATGTAAAGTCAAGCGCGCCTGCGCATGCATCCCATGACCATGTCCTTGGCAAGTTCATATTATCCGGAGTCATGCATCAAAGTGCTGAGTAAATATGTGGAGACCGATTTTGATTATCCTCTGATACCGGAGGCCGAAAGGTTGCCGCAAACGACACATTTGTTCACAGCGATCGAATCCGCACGATTGTCAGCCACACCACTCAGCTCACAAGACTCGGAGTGATGCATGATTCTAATAAATGCCGAAAATTCCATCGTGGCGATTCATGATGCCGATGCAATCATTGACATGTGCAATGGTCAGGTGCTAGGTGGTATTCAATTCGTATCCACGGCTCTCTTAGCCTCAACGTCGTGACCTGCTGTGCTACATGGTTCAAATCCGCAGTTCCTATCACCGTTCTGCCATTCTGTTGGACTCATGTGTTAGATCTACTCATACAGAAAACAAAAAACATCCGGTTAAATAATTTACAGAGGAATCGGCATATCGAATAAGTAAAACAAGCAGAAAAATCTTATACAGTGGAAAATAGAGATACAGATCCGAAACCTGCATATCTCTATCAGCGGATATCTTCCAAAAGTAAACCTGGACGTACGAAGTCTGTCGTGATTTTGGTCGATGGTCCAATCGAGATCGGCGGCGACGATATTTACTTCGTCGTATTTCAAAGTACTTTCGAGAAGGTGTAAAAGCATTCGAGTTGTCATAATGCCAAGCGAAGCATAAAATGGTCTATGACCTGTTAATTAACGGTTACATTGAGAGAGTGATAGATTTACCCATAACCAAACCACGGTATTTTGGTTTTGCCCTATAATTGAGGTGAGTTGCAAGCCAACGCCTTCACTCAAAACTTTTGCTCACCGAAACCTCGAGATTATTCAATAGCAGAACAATGGTCACTCTGAAAATTCATTCATGTCTTGGAACTCGAGAAAGACAACAAAGCCGTACCCAAAAAAATACAGGATATTGTCGTTGACTAATACTCTGGTCAAAATCATGACTTTCTTCGCAGCCGGTAACCGAGAGAGGTCGAGCACTTCCACATATTTGTACAGAGCAAACCCGAAAAGAATAACTTCATATATCGTTGCTATTCGGGGATTCGGCAAGGCGCGAATAATGTATTCATCAATAAAGGCATACCTGGTATCCATTCGCTCCATTCGATTGGGGTGTTGACCACTGGACAACCTATAAGGGTAAGACGTATTGCAGATTTAATGGCTTTTTGTCTTCCTATCGCAAGGTCTGTCAAGATGCCTACGAAAGCTAATATAGCGCAGAAAAATAGGGCTGCATTAAATATGGCAATCTGTAAAAAGCCAAAAGTCAACGGGATATGCCCTGTGCGAGGGAAATGATACGGACTTTGCGTGAGCATCCATACAACGCGTAAATGCGCAGTTGAATGATAATTTCAACAGACCACAGACTGATAGCACCAGCTATTCTTAGCATTGGGTCGACAGCGAGGCAACTATCATAACAACGATCGGTCAATGTCACGTCATGAATGACAGCTGACGCATGTGCATGTGCATGATGCTCACACTGTGTTGGAAGTGATGCCCGGTATTGTGAATAGGTGTATCTGGAGGGCGTTTGCCGCAACGAGGAATATTGTATAATAGCGCATCTGAAACTTCAGGGTAAGTGCATGACAATGACAAAAAAAAAGTAAAGTACCCAAAGGAACATGATTTTGCCCCGGTTCCATCGTTGCGGCTGATATTCGTATAAGTATGGATGTGAAGCCATCAGTAAGGGGGCGTACCCAGACTAGTCGAACCTGGTGGAAGTCATGAACAATGTAACTTTCAGAAGCAACAGAACGCTTGCCTCATCTTCGAGCGTATAAACTTGATACGGTGTCGTTAAAATCGCAGTATTATTACGAGCGTGCGATGTTGCTTACAATAATCAAGAAGTACCCATGTCAATGATGCGACTAGAACGGACATTAGTTGACTGGAGAAGAGGGTACGGAATGCACTTCTTTGACTTACGAATCGTGTATAGCGGGGGTATATTCGCCTCGTAAGCGTGGAGATAAGCGGAATTGCTCTCTGAGGACATTGAGTGTCCTGGGGAGCGATGCCAGGATATATATACTGCCATTCGACGGTCACGCCACCCTGATGTATTTGAAGAACCATTGGGCTGAAGCTATGCTTTCACGATGCACAGTACTTATATCCGCGTTTATTTGGCATGAGTGGCACGGCATCAAGATCATCCTCCACGAGTTCATCAGGGACTTGGATCAGAATCAGATTGAAGGATAGCTGTGGGAACTTTAATCCATATTTGGCCTTGCCTCTCAGCATGGCCCCAACCACAAAGAAGTCCAAGGCAATCAGCGCAAGTTCCTTCCTCGAGCTCAAGGCTGAGCTGGCAAAGAAAGAAGAGGAGATTTCGAAACTCAAGGCTGCTGGAAAAAGCACCGCAATCGGCGGAGGACCCAAGCGTCCCGACAAGGTATTCACCAGCTCTATTACCCGCCATTGGACTTGTGCTGATATTGTAGACGCAACAACCTAGAAGCCCACAGTATGGGCTCGCCAGAATAAGGGTGTCGGTTCAAGAGCAGCGCGAGACATAGAATTGGAAGCGATCGACAAGCCAACCCTCGAGTCTGCTCGCGCTGTCTTGGAACGAAAAGCGAAAATATATGACAAGCTCAAGAAGGGAAAAACAGGAGGGTTGTCTGAAAATCAGTACAACTCGCTGCTCGTAGATGTAAGCTTGCATGACTACTTTCAACAGCGTCTTGTGATTGCTGGCCTAGTTCGACTCAAAACCCATAAGGACCTATGAATCCGATAGCGACGACGTAGACGAGTCATTGACAATACCCAAACCTCCTGATCAAGGGGTACGTGCTCGTACTAACTATGCATATAATCACACTAAGGCAAAATGGATAGAGTGATCCAATGGTGGAATATGAAGATGAGTTTGGTCGAATACGAACGGCTCGTAGGTCTGAAGTGCCTCGAAACCTCCTGCCTCCAGAGCCTGATGAAGATGAGTATGTGTCCATGATTTATTCAATCTTACATATTATTTATTGGGATCATCCTAGGGACATCGTCATTCGTTCGTATTGATTTTTTTCTTGATGAAGCGTCGTCATCTGACATGACAAACAGGAAATCCCGTTAATCATTTCCCCGTTTACATGCCATCCGAAGACCGCGTAGCCGAAATCGAAAAGACATTCGCCGAGGAGAACAACCCATTAAACCTTCATTTTAATGCAACCAAGGATAATCGTGCCATGGGTGCTGGCTTCTACCAGTTCTCAGCTGACGAAGAGACAAGGCGTGCACAGATGGACGAGCTCAAGACTGCAAGAGAAGAAACTCTGCAGGCGCGGCAGGAAACAGGCGCAGTGGACATCAAAGCTGGCGAGGTCGAGGGAATGCAAGCAAATGAGATTGCAAGGAGTAGGGCCGTGGAGAAAAGGAAGAGAGAGATAGAGGAGAGAAGAGCGTTGATTGAAGCAAAGCGGAAGAAAGTCAAGGCAGAAGGAACCGAGGAACCGAGACCACCTTCAGCTGCGCAGCCAGTAATGCAGCCAGCGTCTCAGAGTCAAACGGCGAGAGATGTTTCGGTTGGCCCATTTGTCGCTCTGGAGGGGCATACTGCGCCGTCCGCGAAAGAAAGGGCCAAAAAGAGCAAGAGCCAACCTACAGAAGCGGATGCGTTTTTGGCCCAGCTTGAAAAGGACCTTTTGGATTCCAGGAGAAAATAGGCTCACGGGCACTCAGTACCCGGT